TTTTTTTACTACTATTTCTATTAGGTTTCATATCTAACCTACCCCAACTTGTTTGGGACTAAAAGACTTTATTATTGTTATATTAAAATTGGATTGAGTTATATTTTTAGTTAATGATTGAATATAAAATAACTTAATCAATTATAATCGATTAAGTTGGATCATAACTCATATCCAATACGCGCGAAGTAGCACCATAGTGGTCCATTGAGTTTGTTAGTTGCATTAGCCATCATTGGGTGTCTGAATTTGTTGATGCAGTGTCGTATTCTTTATTGTGTGGTTTTAATGGAAAAATTATGCCACCATATTTACAAAACGAGTCAAATGAAGCTTGAATTTCTATTATTTGAATTTGGACTCCTGATTTTATTGAATTGTGATAAGTTTAGGAGGGAGTCATTTACATGTAATTTCAAAATATATACTGTGTGAGGCAAACAATTTGCTAGTAAAATATCTCGGAGAGGTAGTGAGATGCTTTCTAAAGACATATTTATTAATTATCATTTTCGCTTGTATTTAGTGCATGGTTCTGAAAACCGAACATGTGAAAACTACTAGTTCAATGGTTCATTGGTCGGACCAGCGGTCGAACCGGTCGAACCATTTTAATTGGTATATAATTTTTTATTTATTTTATATATACAATATATAATTATATATATTTTTTATTAATTTTTATAGTATATGACATTTCTCTAAATAATAGTTCAATAATATATATAACCGATAATATGGAATAATGTTGTTAACTTTTTTTTTTTCTTCTTATTTTAGTTTTATATTTAAAATCTGTATTTAATTTACAAAATAGAGATAATAGAAACAACCTAATTTTTATTTTAAATATACCCCATTTTAAATTTTTAATTATTGATTAAAAATAAAAAATAAAAAGAATGTGCCTAACAAACAACAATAAAATAAATTGCTTCTTTTTTTTTAAAAAAAAAATGGGGAATATATATAAATCAATAGATAATCCACTTCAAATAATAATACATATATATTTAATGAGTACAATTTTACTTGTTAGGCTCAATATTGACTCAATAATTTAAGCAAGGAAACATATCTTACATAGGAAATCTATATATATATATATATATAATTACTAGCTCTTCTACATTTAAGAAAACCTCATAAATTATACCTAGATGGCGCTTTTACATTTTCCCCCCAAAAAACGTTACTTTTCATTTATTTAACCTAATTAATAGATAATCTATACACTAATCAATTTAAAATACAAAAATTAATTTGAACTTTTGATTACTGACAGTTAACCATATAATGTGTTACCATATATTGTGATTAGATATTATTATTGTGGTTACATGTAAATTATTTTTTTGGAAAACAAAAAAAGTATATGAAACTCCTAAATAAAATATAAATAATTTAAAAAAAATACATACCAAAATATACGTTACATCCAATCTAATAAACACAATTTTTAAAAAAAAAAAAATCAACTCCTTTAATTGTAAATCTGGCTGCAAAAACGTGAAAGAAAAATAATTAATCATTATATGCATAAAATAACCCACAATGTTTTATTTACATTTGTGCAAATGCACAGGTAAAATACTAGTACAAATAAAAAAGGTGTTATTTAAACCAATTCACAATCTACCAAGTTCAAATTCATAAGCTTGAATCGGAGAACCATTCGAAATGATTCCGGTTCACCAGTTCAACTGGTTTTGAACTTCGAATGGTTCTTGATCGGTTCTCCTGCATAACAGTTTGAAGGTTCAAACCGGACCAAAATGAAGGCCGGTTCCGGTCCAACTGGTTGAACCGGTCAGTCCGGTCCAATTTTTAGAACAATGATGATTTTGTGTTCTTATACACATTGTGCACTATACTCCCCCGACTCAATTTAATAACCGAACCATACCAGAATGAAGGCCGGTTCCAAGTCCAACCGGTTGAACCGGCCAGTCCAGTCCAATTTTTAGAACAATGATTTTGTGTTCTTATGCACGTTGTGCACTATACTCCCCCGACTCAATTTTTAATAACCTAACCGTACCATACCGTACCGTACCGAAATGCATGCTTTGGCTCGAATTTTGGTTTGATCACAAATTTTCGATACATTTTATTCAATTTGGTGTCATTCGGTCAAAATTGTACCAAACCGAAAATTGAGCTTATAGAAAACTATAATTGCACAGATCCATGATGTATGAGCGAAATCGAACATTTTTTTTTTACATTTACAAATCGAATAGAATTACACCAAATTGCACGATTCAACTTTTTTTTTTCTTTTCAATTTCGATACGATTTTGCTCACTCTTAGATCTCAAACCTAACATTCCTCAACAATCTGAGTCAAGCTAATTAATACTAACAACTCATTTCATTGTTTACCAATGTGGCCAAAGAAATTAGAGGGTAATAATGTTATACTATTATATATTAATATAATGTAGTAACACGTCACGTGTGAGTTTATATGTTGTCAAATCTATACAATTCTTAGCATTTACGTCTCATCGGTCATGTCTGCACATTTTTTGCTACTTGACATATTATGGTACATTTTTATGCTGGTTCCTTAAAGCACACATCGTCTTTTGTGCTTCTAAGTCAAATTTAAAATTATTCTAATAATTCCCATAATTTTATTATTAATTACAACATTACACATCACCTTCTGAAGAAAAAAAAAAATAATAAAAAAAATAAATAGAGAGCTCAAAATAAAAATGATAATATTGAGATCAAGTTAAAGTTCATCAAATTATTCCCTTCCTCCCCGAACTCCTTCAAATAGCCGTGACATCATACACATTAAGATTTGGGCGCCATCATACAAACAGAGGACAACGATATCGGCACAAATTATATTAGATGAAAAGTCATTACACGAAAATTAATTGTTGGAATATCGCTTGTGATTTGTCCCATATAGGGTAACTGAGCCCTATATGACGGTTCGACGAGATGAATACAAAAGTAGTTCACGACCGAAACAGACACCGAACAACATCAGAATAAGGCCGAACAAAAACATAATAAATATTATTCCATTCTCCATGATTATTTTAATCAAATAATCTATCAAATTTGATACTTACTAATAAAATGTGCATAAATGATTACCATGCATCCAAATTAGCATAACTTTTTTACCAAGAAATAACCTGATTTTAATGGACAAAAAAAAAAAAAAACATGTGTTTTAAGATACAAGACAAAAAACTAGGAACATCCTTAGGTTGTTCCATCCTTATAACTACTATTGTAGACCAATGATTGATTAACCAAAACATGATTATGCAAATTAACCTAAGAGCGTGTATCCACAATGCTTTGAGTTCAATTACAAAAAAATTGTGTGCTACCTAAGAAATAGACCTATCTTAAAAAATGTATTCTCCAATGCAAACAAAAGTAGACTGGGTTCTGCTGATGTGGCAGCCAAAAAAATAGACTCGATCTACCCTTAAGTCTATTTTAGACCCAAGCAGAGACTTAATCTCTTTGTATTGGAGTTGATTTTATCAATTTTACATAATTTTATCCATGTTATCCAAAACTTTTTATTTACATGCCACATAGACAAGACTAGACCAAGCTAGTCACGAAAAAAAAATAGCAATTAGGGTTCATAAATATTTGTGTGAATTATATATATTAATTGTTCAAATCCCTAAAACATTCCAAAGTCATTGATATCTCGCGGCTCGTCCGCTGGACTGAGTGCAGTTAATAATCCCACCCACTCATTCTATCAATCATAATACCACTCTCTCTCTCTCATTCTCTCTCATTCTCTCTCTCTCTCTCTCTCTCTCTCTCTCTCAAATTATACACTCTTGCAAAATCCCACTAAAAAAATCTCTCTCCCTCTTCTCTCTCTCTCTCTCTCTCTCTCTATCTCTCTCTCTCTCTATCTCTCTCTATGTAGGTATCTCTTTCTTCTTTATTTTGTGATGCCCTTTTGTTCCCCTTAGTTGAATACTTTCTTGAAGCTCAAGCTGAATTATTTTTAGCTTATTTGAACAAGTTCTTGATTTTTGAGCTTATTCTTCTTGATTTGCTTTGATGCTTTGAGAGCTAGCCCTTTTCATTATTCTATCTTTCTTTCTATAACTCTTCATTCGAAAATCGTACGGAAAGTTCTAGCGATTTAATTCCAGAGTAGTTTGATCGATCCGAGCTGAAATGTCGATGGAATTGACCTCCGAACGTGTTTGTTATCTTCAGTGCAACTATTGCAACACCATTCTAGCGGTACATATATATATATATGTGTGTGTGTGTGTGAATTATTTAGTTCTCTTTGTTATATTTTGTTGTGCATGTTGAGAATAATTTTATTGAATCAATTCAACCAACATATATATATAGTTTAATTACCTAACATTATTAGAAATTAAAAGGGAGAAAAACTTCCTTCATAGAAAATTAAATTGGAAATTAATTAAGGGCCTTTCTTTTAGTGGAACTGAAAATTAATTTGTTGCTAATTTAGTTCATATATTTATTTTTAGTTTAAATTCTATTTTTATACTACTGATCATGATGAGTTTATTTTATGTTTAAAGATTCATCTAATGATAATAGAAAAAAATAAAACAAAAAATTTAAAACTATGAAAATCCTTGTCTGAGTTCAAAATCTTGAGATCTTATCTACAGATCCCATTTTAGGAAAGTACATATAAACTCACTTAATTATTACTTTTATTTATTTATTTTTATTTTTTTTAGTGATCACTTACAATGAAGAACCCTAATTAGTTAATTATATATATGTATGCCTAAAAAGCAAAAATATTTAATTTAATTTAATTTAATTTTATGACTTTAATTACACTGCAGCTACCTAGCTATTGAGGTTACTGTTCCTAGGGTTCTTTCTTATGGTTCATTTGAATATATTTTTTTATTTTATTTTATTTTAATTTTTATTTCTTTATGTGCAGCAAACTAAAAATACAGTACTACTGTTTCTACATATGAAGCCAAAACACACACACACACACACACACACACACACACACACACACACTCAATGCTCAAAATGGGTGCTTCTGTTTGACACTATTTCCTTAAAATTTTTGTTTTTTTTTTCATTTTATTTATTTATTTATTTATTTACTGTAATTCTGATACTATATTTTTGTGTTTTTATGATGTGGGATATATCTCATTTTTTTCATATGCTGCTGCTTTAGAGCTGCCAAAAGAAAATCATGGCACAGAAAAAAGTGCTGTCTTTTTCCTTTGCCTTTTTCTTTTTCCACAAAATACTACTGTTTTTCTTTTTCTTTTTCTTTTTTTTTCCTCATGTATTTTCTTTTATGATAATCATATAATTTTAATTTTTTGTTCTTTTTTGCAAAATTAGTTTTACATATATGTTGATAAAAATTAAAAATATATACCACTGTTTTTTTTTTTTTTTTTTTTTTTTTTTTTTTTTTTTTTTTGAGTATTCTTTCAAGATATTGCCTATTTTTCTTCACCACCCATATCTTTTATAAACTTTGTAATATTTTGTATCCCTTTTGCAAATTTAGTATTTTTTGAAGATGGGTCCCTTTATTTTCTACAAATAATTTAGTACATGTTAATAAAAATTGAAAATACCACTGTTTTTTTTTTATTTTATTTCAAGATTGGCCTTTTGTTCTTCACCATCAATCTCAGTTCAAAGCATATAATAATATTGTTAAATACTCATTCCAGTATCTTGATAGAATTTAAAATCTGTAGTATCCCTTTTGCAAATTTAGTATTTTTTTGAGGATGGGTCCCTTTTTCTTGTACCAATTATTAAATATGTTTAATAATTTCAGGTTCAAAGTACAATATATATACTATTAAAGTTACTTAAATAAGGAGTATATAACAATAAAAGTGTGCTTAATGATTTGAATCTTGGTTATGAATGGTCTTTTGATGTTTTCTGTTCCAGTCAAGTCCTTTTCTTCTCTCTCTCTCTCTCTCTCTCTCTCTCTCTCTCTCTCTCTATGTATGTATAATTGTATGTATATATTTTGAAACATTATGACACAGAGATCAGTGATGACATGGCTGCTGCAGTGTAATCAGAAAGAGCAGAGAAAAAAAAAAAAGTCATAAACTTCTGAAATAAAATGTGGATAGTTCATTACTATGAGGGCTTCTTTTTTGACTCAAGGCCTATTGTTCTTTATGGTTAATTATTCCCCATATATATGAGGGATTTGTTTTTTTTTTTTTTTTTTTCCTTTGCATGTATTTAATATAAAATGTTGTTATTGAATTTTTTCACCGTTGGATTTCAGTTATTCTATTTCACACTATTCGGAGATGCTACGGTCCCGTTACGGAACCATTCTGTCAGAGTTTGTAACTGTTATTAGACCATCATATAATCGTCGGGGAAAGTTGATCTAATGGTTACAAAACCCGACGAAATGGTTCCGTAACGGGACCGTAGCATTTTCCCATTCTATTAACGGGACACATTAAACCCATATAATTAAGTGTGTTTCATGAATATGTTAAAATAAATCATATGAAAAAGAAAAAGAAAATTAAAAAAACAATATATTGAATTTTTGCAAGTAGTATTCTACTGTATCTAGGGTTTTTGGTTACTATTGAAAATTATGATATTTTTTTTGCTAATATATAAAATTAAAGTGAAATATTTTAATAATTTTCAACTGCAAAAGTATCTAATTAATAATTAATGGAAATTAATTAAGAAAAACTGATGATTAAATTATTAAATATTTCATCAGGTTAGTGTTCCATATGGCAGTATGATGACATTTGTGACAGTGAGATGTGGGCATTGTGCAAATTTGCTGTCAGCTAATATGGCTGCTTTGCTTCAGTCTGTTCATCTTCAAGATTTTCAGGTTTGTGTATATATATATAACTGTTAATCTGTGTGTGTATTGCTGTGTTGTTAAGTGAAGTAAATTGCTCGTGGGCTCGACTTGTTGCATGTATCGACCTCAAGAGTTGAGTCGATCTCGAGTTTGTTTAAAACTCGTTTGTTTAATCCCCTAATAAGTTTGATAGGATTAGGATTTTTTTCATTTTCTAATTCAACTCGTTCATATATTGATGAACAAGTTGAACTCGAGCTTGTTTATCAGCTCGTTTCATTAAATTGTGTTTCATCATGTTTAAACACTAACCTAATTAGAGCATCAATTTTCAATTACTTATTTGGCAGCTATATATATATCTAATATTTTTCAAAACTTGATCATGAATATATGATGAAGCTCCACAAACAACAGTCAGTGACGGCCAATTATAAAGACGGTGGATCGTCGTCAAAGTGCAATAGATTCGGACCGATGCAAACCGATTACGAACAACCTAAGACGCCTCCAATACGCCGTAAGTTTCTACGTGCATTTGGAATTAACTGATCTTTTTCGCCAATTATTCCAACCATAGGAAAAAAACAACCATTAATATTATCGTTAAAATTTAGTATAAATTACAACGAAAAACTCATTCAAACTCAATATTATTTCTGTTGATATATATTGCACCTGACATAATTTCCTGATAAGTGCACCTGTTTGTGATTGTGACAGTACATTTCAATACAACTGATCATCTGCAATATTGCACTAGCTAGCTGCCATTTCTCAAACATATATATATATGTAGGCCTCATTCATATAAACTTTTATATATAAAAATAAATAAATAAATTAGGCAAATTAATGGATATTTTTTGATAAAATTTTAAAGGCCACCATTAATTAATATGCTCATGTAATTAAATACAAAATTTTCGCGTGAGACGATCTGACTCGTTTAGCTAGTCGTTTCGCCGAACCATATATATTAAGTTCCAATAAAAGAAAATATTTAATTATATTATGAAATGTCATATTTTTTTTTATATTGTTTTTTTTTTTAAAAAAAAAATAATATATCAGTTTGAAAATATGTATATTTTTGTTGATAGTGATATTTATCATTTTTTTTGTTACTAACTAAATATTTTCATTGTTACTCCCTAGTAATATTTTCAAACTCGTTTCCACTGTCCTTAAAAATATAATACCCAAAATACCCTTATCTCGCACACTTTCCAAAAATTGTTTTGAACTTATCAATAATGCTCCCCTACTCACGGGACATATATATGTTAATATGCTCGCAACTTATGTGACATGCACACATTGATGATGTTAATATTTTTACGTTGCTTATGTGACATGCACACATTGATGATGTTAATATGTTCGGCTGCGAGCATATTACATGTGTTCACCGTGAGTATGGGAGCATTACTGTGAACTTATTTATCAATTCCATTTGACTCATTTAATTAGAGATTAATTTGAATCTAATGATTTGCAGCTCCAGAGAAAAGGCAACGTGTTCCATCAGCTTATAATCGTTTCATAAAGTAAGTATTATATATATGCTTTCATTTGTTTAGACAATCTTAATTATTACATACATGACCAAATTAAATAATTTTTCATATATAATTTGTATCAAAAAATTATATTTTGTTTAATGTCAGAGAGGAGATTCAAAGGATAAAAGCAAGTAATCCCGAAATTAGCCATCGTGAAGCATTTAGCACCGCAGCCAAAAACGTAAGTCTTGATAATAGTTAATTAATTAAGGAAAATGCTACAGTCCCGTTACGGAACCATTTCGTTGGGGTTTGTAACCGTTAGATCATCATGTAACCGTCGTGGATAGTTGATCTAACGGTTACAAATCCCGATCGAATGATTCCGTAACAGAATGTGTGTGTGTGTGTATTTTTACATTTTGTTCTTATATATATAAATATGCAGTGGGCACATTTTCCTCATATTCATTTTGGACTAAAGCTGGATGGCAATAAAGAAGCAAAAATGGACCATTCAGTTGCAGGACAGAAATCTCTGGGTTTCTAGTTATAATAAAGATAATTAAGTTAATTAATTTTCACAAAAACAAGGGTAATTAATTAATATAAAAAAAAATATTTGCATTGTCTTTTAATCCCAGAAAAAAAAAGTTTGATGATTAAAATTAATTTTGTGGCTTTGTGATCCCTCTTATTTAAATTAAGCATTTTATTCATTATTGATAAATAAAAAATATGAGGGACTTAAGGCCACAAAATTTCAGCTTATTAGAGTTGCAGACATGCCTTTTTTTATTATTATTTATTTTCCCTTGTAATAATAAACTTAGTTTATTTTTCAATGATGGATTGCAATTGTTTTTGGTAACCTATAAACAGGATCTTATATTCTTATATATTTATGTATCTAAAAACATAATTAGTAATGTTGTTATTCATTTTAATTCTTGGTGTGTGATAATCATTTTGTTATCTTTTCAGGGGATAAATATATATGTTCATTAATTTAATTTGTGTTTATTGTAATTATATTCTTGTGCATGAATGAATGAACACACACTGAAGCACACACATGAAATTTTTAAATAGCCTTATAATTGTAAAAGTTAATAAAAAGTAATTTCATTACAATAATACAATTGATACTTTTAAAATCAATCAAAATAATACTACCTCCTTTTTAAAATAAGTGTCGTTTTGACTTTTTAATTAATAAATGTCTAGATACATAGTAAAATGGATGAATCAAAAAAGTCAAAACGACACTTATTTTAAAAAGGAGGTAGTATTAGTTTTCGTTCGAATTCCATTGGAAAGAGGTAGTATTAGTTTTCGTTCGAATTCCATTGGAAAGAGGTAGTATTAGTTTTCGTTCGAATTCCATTGGAAAATAACACTTTACATTCACGAGTCATTCGTCAATTGGTATATTGGGAGGTAAAATTTCAGTTTTGGTCCATTATATTGGCCATTTTTTCATAAATGGTCCACTAATTTGGCGCACATCAAACTTGATACAATAAGTTGTAAAATTCATAATTTTCAGTTCATTAATCACTCGGATTGGAATAACGAGCCTACGTGGCGGACATCAAACTTGTCCACGTATTCACCCGATCAAACGCCACATAGGCCCGTTATCCAACCCGAGTGATTAATGGACCAAAAATGATGAATTTTACAACTTATTGTATCAAGTTTGATGTCCGCCAAATTAGTAGACCATTTCTGGAAAATGACCAATATAATGGACCAAAAATGAAATTTTACCTATATTGGGATTCCATTTTTCGTAAAAATGATAAATTTTAAAACAATACAAGTCTCGTTTTGAGAAATTGAATTTCAACGTGACTACTTTTGCAACGACATAAAGATACGACACTACTTTTGAATTTTTTAAATGTCACGTTTATGTGATGTCAATTGATGGAATTCGAGATTCGAAATATATATATATATATATATATATATATATATATATATGTTGATTAATTTTAAAAGATACAAGATAATTATATTATTATTGATGAATTACATTTCAAACTATTACTAATTAATTTAAACACAACTATAGTTAATAAGACTATTTTTTGGACTTTTGGTATACACTTTAAGCTTTTTTTTTTGGCTATAATTCAAATACTCACATACTCCATGTACTATATAAACACACAACAGTCCATTTTAAAGGTATGAATTTGGACCACATTATAGTGTGTGTGTGTGTGTGTGTGTATTTGTATGTATTATAGATTTATTGCCCTATATTTCAGGGATGTGACCAATACATATATCTCTGTCTCCTTTTGTGTCAGTGATAATCAGAATTTATGAGAAAACACACAAATGCCCCAAATTTCTTCACCTCTTAACTAATTAATGATGTGTTGATCATATGTAGTTGAGTTTTATACTGTTGGAAAAGGCTAAAGCCTCGTTACGGTATCATACTGTTGAGACTTTTAATCGTTAGATGCACATGTAGATGAATATAACATGTTTATTTAACGATTACAAATCTCAACAGAATAATTCAACGAGTTGTAGCCTTACTCATTATTATATCAACACATATATATCTATTGAGATGGGTATATTTTAATCTAATGGTAAAAATATTAAGTGACTACAGTGTAGGTTGAAAAAGCGAGTTGTGAACAACAACAATTTTATCTGAGATTGGCTACAAATTAATATAAATTAAATTTGTTTCTCCAACTATATTTATCTAATTAAAATTAAAATTGAACCGAAAAAAAATTTACAAAAATACTATTTATTTCGTATCGCTTTTTTCTGTATAATTATACTAACACAACTAAAAAAAAAATTATTACTATAGATTTTATAATTGGAAATACCATTAATCCAGTCTCATATTTTTAACTTAAAATTTCATCAATTTGTATTTTATTATTTTCATACCATATTAACTTTACTCAGTTTGTCTTTATCTTATATTTATTTATAACCTCAAATTTATTTCACTTTAAAAGAAAAAAAAATACTATTTTCTATTTATTTCATCTTTTTTTT